ATTGTCCTGCAGAGTTTAGCTCCAACCCTAATTAAACACACCAGCAAGGTCTTCAGACCGACTAAATATTTCCAGGCAGGTGTGTTGTAGCTGGTTGGAGGTAACGCAGGACGTTGACTAAGAGCAGGATTGGACACCCCTGGTCTGATTGATGGTTTTGGATGAGTTTTGGGCAATTGTCATATGGTCAGGCCGGGAGACCAACTAAACCAGCTTAGGCTGGTTTGAGGTGTTTTTTGATAGTTCAGTAGAGAGAGGACAGGGAATTATGGGTATAGTGCAGGGGTGTCCAAACTTGTTCCTGGAGGGCCACTCTCTTGCAGAGTTTAGCTCCAACCTTAATTAGACACACCTGAACCAGCTTAAACACCAGGGAAACTTCCAGGGAAGTGGAACCTTGGCCCTTCAGGAGCAGGATTGGACACCCCTGGTATAGGGAATCAGGAAATGTTCCAAACAGGATTCCAACTAAAGTTATCTGCACAAGCACCATGGCTCAATGTATAGGAGTCTGTACACTCCTTGGTTAGACTCAACTTTGTATTGTAGTGTTCCTCATTAACACCATTTCTGTTTTCTTTTTGTTTTTCCAGTTCTCAAGTCAGATGCGATATCCACTGGAAGAAACTTAAAATGCACAATTTGTGACTACACTGCTGAAACTCTTATGGTACTCCAGCACCACATCCTCTCCCATCTGTCCCAAACTGGCCTGAGATGTAGTTACTGCCACTTCACATTCCAAACCCCCAGAGAACTGGTCAAACACCAGGAGCTGCATGGACATACGGTCAACAAACTCATTGAAGGAGACAAAGCTGATAACTCCCCTAACAGCATTGCAGACAGTCCTCAACGAGTTAGAGCTAATGCAAACATGAAATACCTTCAGGAAAGCACAGTACAACGTGATATAAGTCAAATGCCAGAGATGGAAAGCACGGAAAGTAGCCAGACATCCACTAAGGGTGAGGGAAACTCAGGAAACAAGGCAAGTGTTTCATACTCCAGAGTAAAGTCAGAACCTTCTAGTCCTCGTTTAGCCTCCTCACCCATTCAACACCACCTGCCTCCTGCCTTTCCCTTACTCCCCTTCATACCACATGTCCCGTTCTCACAGGATATTACGGTGGGCCCGCAAGCATCTGAGATCCTGGCCAAAATGTCCGAGTTAGTCCATCGCAGGTTACGTCATGGGGGAAACTCATACCCTCCAGTCATGTATAGCACGCTTGTGCCAAAAGGAGCAACGTGCTTTGAATGCAATATCACCTTCAATAACCTTGATAATTATTTGGTACACAAGAAGCACTACTGCAACAGTCGCTGGGAAAGCACACACAGGCCACTCGACTTCCCTGGTCTTCTGGATAAACCAGCAGGCAGTGTAAGCCCTAAAATCGGAGCTAGTTTAGCTGTTATGCTAAATTCCGGCCATCCCTTTGAAGTGAAAGGGCATGAGCCTAATCCTTGCATTCCAATCGCAGGTGGAAAAGTGACAGATGAACTGTCTGTGCAAGTTAAAAAAGCATCAACTCCATCTGGTGCACAGGAGAGACCAAACGGTACACAGCTGGATTTACAAAACCAGAAAATGCCACCCACTGAAACTGACCCCAACCACACAACATGCGAGGCATGCAAGATCACCTTTAGTCGACATGAGACCTTCATGGTGCACAAGCAGTATTACTGTGCCACTCGCCATGATCCTCAATTGAAACGTGCAAACAATAAAGGAGCAGCCAATCAGAAGGCAGTACGTGCTCGTAAAAGAAGAAAGGCATATGAGCTGGCCACTCCTGAACAAGAACAAATGCCACCTATGGGTATGCCAACATTTCTTGGTATGCCCACTATAGGAGGTCCATACATGTCAAAAGACACACTGGATAGCTTCAGGGACCATCAGAGGTACAACATGATCCAGGGGTTAGTACCCAAATATCCAGAGGCTTCATTGACAGTCACAAAATCAGCTCTTGTGTCAAAATGTAATACAATCTCCAAGGAAGAAGGTGATGCACCTATAGATCTCAGTAAAAAATGCATCGCACAGTTTGGCAACACTCCGGTTTCTTCTAAAGGACTTATGGATTATCATGAGTGTGTTGTGTGCAAGATAAGCTTCAACAAAGTTGAGGACTATCTCAAGCACAAACAAAACTTCTGCCTAGGTACTATTTTGCAAAACACTTCAGCTGAATTCAAAATCATCAAAAAGGAAGGTCCTAGAAATACTAACAGCCTTTTAGAGAACGCCCTCTTTGCGCTCCCAGCTCTGCATGGAAAGATTGAGCATCCAAATGCAGTGCCAACTTCCGACATCCAAGCTTCCAGTGAGGAACAACCGATCCCGATAAAAGATGACACGAGGAGCGTGTTTCAGCCCTCTGGGGGTTACCCAAGTCCTGCTAAGAAAATGAGACCCGATGAGCAAATCTGGCCTTACTATGAAATCAAACCCACTGATTACGCTACAGGGATGCTGGTCTCACAAAGCGAACAAAGGCAGAGTCCAAACGAGGGCAGTGAGGGGGAAAATGACCAGCCGATGCCTGATGGTAGCCATCTAAGCACACATGACCCTGGGAACCAGAACAAGTCTTCATCCTTAAAGGACAGTCTTGACCTCGAGGACAAGATGGAAGATGCTGGGAATAAACAACATGGTTCCCCTACACCAGAGAGCCATGCAGACAGTCCTGTCAACTGTAAGGAAAGCACAATGTCGGTGCCATCCTTAAAGACTGAGGAAGTCTCGACAAGATTCAAGAGAGTGTTGAATGGGTCCATTGCAACCACAAGTAATGTAAAGTACTGCCGTCCTTGTGACATCCAGTTCAACAACCTCTCAAACTTTATAACACACAAGAAGTTTTACTGCTCGTCACACACAGCAGAGCATGTGAAATAGC